CGTCTGGGCCTGTGAAGGGTGAAATGAGGTTTGCACCATTTGCCCGCATTTCGAAACGCATCGTGTGGTGTGAAACTTGGAATAAGATGAAGTCGACTGACTGCTGGCTGTAAATACAAATCGCGTGAAAAAAATCGTTTTTAAAACGCCTTCCGCCTGGTTGGAATTCACCATTACCCACACTTGAATTACTTCAGTGGTTTGGCGGAAATAATGCGACGCACAGCTCATTTGCTGTTGGCAATCGGTTTGGATATTGATGCTCCCCCATAGTACTTCCGTAAACTGGCGGACAACTTACGAAGGTTGCATGGCTAGATAATAAGTTATGCTATTCTTACTTTCATTGCAACATTCAGCGCTTACTGATGTGAGGCAGATCGCTCGGGTACACCATTGGTCCACCATGTGGCAGTAGGGCGCAAAATGACCTCGAAAGCCGCCCGCGCCCTAAAACCTCCGTCATCATCACATTGTGGCAGTAACGGTCCTTTTCTCCCCGGAAAGCTCAGGTAACCATGCATTCAAACCGTTAAGACGCGTTCAAATCTACATGTATTGTGACTGCGTAAAAGCACAACAACGCACGCAACTGGTGATGAATAAAATAAATATGAGTAAAAACACGCTCAGGGGTAGCACCGCATGGTTAAGCCTAGAGCTCCATTAAAGTCGTGGAAGCGTGGCGGTTGAATCCACAGGTCTGAATGACATCGCCCTGGGCGCTCAGTGGTACATGACAAACACGTGGAATAACGCTGCACGATAGGGTCTACTGCTGGTGCCGTCACATGTACGATGAGCACACTTAACATGGTACGGGTTACGATGCATGTCTTAAAATGATCGCGAATCACCGAAAATACTGCTGAGAACTGTACAAAACGCTCCATCCGATCTCCGAGACCCGGAGCATTCAAACCAGCGCTCCACTTGCGCCAGCGTGGCCTACATGCACCGTTAAATTACTCCCTCTGCTCGATGAGATACGGCTCGCTTTCGACATGACCTGCCCACGCGGGCCGGCGAGGGTGGCGCTACGTTCGCTGGGGCCGGCGAGGGCAGCGCTACGCCCACGCGTGCCCCTGCCACGCCGCTTTCGGAGGCCAGCGTCGGGTCTCGACGGGAACTGAGCCGCGCCGCTGCGCCGGCGGGCCGAACGGCGCTCGGAAGTCGGACGAGAAGTGCGACGGAAAGCCGCTGGGCGGCGCCATAGTCGGCGGTATTTGTTGCCGGCCTCCGCCGCCGCCGCGCGGCGCCACTGGCGCCCGCGTCGGGACAGCGGAGAAGGGCGGACCGAAACTACCAGCTGCTGAATAGTCCGCGTATTTCGGCGAGCTGTCGAGGGCCGTCGGCGGATCACGCTCTTCCGCCGTGAGCTGTGGCCGGCCGCCGCCGCGTGGCGGCACCCAAGCCTCGTCCCTCCTTTCAATCACAGCGAAAGGCGGGCCGAAATCGGGGGGCCCGGCGTAGTCCAGCGCCTCCTCACGAGCGTAGACCGGCTGCAGCTGCGGTTCCAGGGGCTCATCACGCCTGCCGCCAGGCGGCAGCACGTCCGAGAACAAGTCATCGAACTGGGCGTCCAGCATGGCCGACTGGGAGCGGAAAGGGGCGGGGTCGGAGCGCCGCTGCCACGCGTCCCTAGCTGGCTCCGCAGGGTGGTAGACGTCCGCTGCAGGCCCCGGGCGTGGGGCGTGCGCGGGGGCGACCTCCCTGGCCCGCAGCGTGACGCTCTCGATGCTGTTGACCTGCTGATCGGCGTCGCGGTCCGTGCCCGATGCCCCGAACGCCCCTAAGATCTGTACGTCCTCTGTGCGCAGGAAGTCGTCCACGTCGTAGAGCGGGCCTGCGGAGCCCACTCCGTCGTCGGGATCCTGGTCAGACGTCAACAGTCGGTTCGCTGGCCTGCCTCCAGTCTCGGCCTGCTTGTTCGGATTCGCCCCGTTGGCGAGTACAGACTCTGACACGATATCCTGCGAACGCGGGGGTCGGTATGTCGTTGCGTCTGCCGGAGGCTGGCCCGGGCCGGGCCGCGGCGATAGCCGTTCGTCGTCATCCGGCAGAGTTTCGAGGACGTGCTGCTGCGGCGCGGGCCCGAAGCCGGTGGGCGCGGAGCTTGGCGCCTCACCCAGTCCGCCCTCGGCGGTCTGACCCGAGTTCCCGTACGGCTGACCAATGCTGTCGCTCGACCGGCCGTCAGTGGGCGGGCTCGGATGTCGGCCAGAGGACGGCGATCCCGTGTTCTGGATGGGACTTGGCCAGTCGCCCACGATGTCACTGGTCTTCGGCGTTGTGTACCCTGTCGGTGGCGCCAGAGATGTGGTTTCACTGTCTGGTACCCCTCGGTCAGCGCCAGGTCTTTCACTGTATTCGGCGTTGCCACCATCATTGGGCCGGAAGAAGCCGCGGTTCCCAGGTTCAGTCGGCTGCTCAGTAGTCTCGGGCCGTATCGGCCCAGCGAATGTTTGGTCTTCGGCCTGGGCGCTTGGGTTATATTCGACCACGCCGGTGGCTTTAGGCCCCGCAAAGCCAGCAGATGTTTCGAACCCGTGCGGGTTCTGAATTGGGCTTGGACGATTGGTTGGTGTTCCTTGGTTGCCAGAGGGCTCATTCCCGTCGAATTCAACGATATCGGTATTTTTCGGGCGGCTGTAACCATTCTGATCGACTGCCTCAGCGCGATAAGGAGACTTCTGACCCACACCAGCCGTTATTTGGCCGTCACTCTCACGAAATTCTCCAGCATTAATCAAATCGCTTTGCTTGGGAGCCCTGAAGCCCTCTTCGTCCTGAAGGCTGTTTGTTACGTGAGGGAGGCGGGGCACTACATTATCATACTGCAGCTCTCCAGCAGCAAGCGCAGCAAAGTCGTCGCCTGACAAGACGTCCTTGTCCTTAGGCCTCGTGTAGCCATTCAGGGCGGCGAGCTTCTCCCGGTTCTGGCCCTGCCTGCGGGGCGGCAGAGTATCGTCACGCGCGCCGGGCGGCGGGCCGGACCGGACGCCCTCCTCCGGCCGCGGTGGACCGTACCCCTGTCCCGTCCGGGGCCCCTCGGGCCGCCGCTGGCTGCGCCCCGGCGGAGCTGGAGCCCCGGCCAGCACCGGTGTGACGTCAAACTCGACGATGTCGTCTTCCTTCGGAGCCGCGTACTCAGCCCGGCCGGCTCGCGGAGTCTCCGGCGGCCCGCCCGACCGCTCGCTCTCCCCACCCGTCGCCTCGCCGTCACGAGGTCGGGAGTAGCCGTCCCGGGGTCGGGAGTAACCGTCCCGGGGTCGGGAGTAACCGTCCCGGTCCCCCGGCGGTGGCGGCGGCGGCGGTGGCGGCGCTGCGCTAGCCGCCTTCCCCCACACCCCGGCCGGCCGCGGCAGCGCGTCTCCGCCTCTCAGAATGTCCTTCGGCTTGGGGCTGCTATAGTCAGGCCGTGGCGTCAGCACCCGAGCGCCCCCGCCGGGGGGTGGCTGAGGCCCGTCCGGACTCCCGCCGGGGGGTGGCTGGGGGCCGCCAGAGCGCAGGATGTCCTCCGCCTTGGGCCGGCCGTACTGCCGCAGCACCAGAGCCGGCGCCGGCGTCGGACCCCGCGCCGCCTCGAACCGGTACGACTCGTCCAGCGGGATCACGTCATCGGCCTTCACCGAGCTCGAGAATCCGTTGACCTCGATAGGCGTGCGGCTGGGGGCAGGTCTGAAGGTGGTCCGGTCGCGGCTGGAGACGGGTCTGAAGATGGTCTGGTCGCGGTTGGAGGATGGTCTGAAAGCAGTCTGGCCGCGGCTGGAGACGGGTCTGAAGGTGGTCTGGTCGCGGCTGGAGACTGGCCTGAAGGTGTTCTGGTCGCTGTTGGAGGATGGTCTGAAGGTAGTCGGACCGCGGCTGGGGGCCGGCCTGAAGGTGGTGCGGTCGCTCCGGGTGTGGTCTTGTGCGCCTGTGGGCCTGTAGTTTTGTCTGTTCTGATGCGGCGCTCCGACAGGAGGGAGGCTATTGGCTGGGCGTGGAGAGACAGCCGGCTGACGGCGATCGGATTCGGTCGAGCCGAAGGGTGGAGCCGCCTGTCCCTCGTATCCGCCCTGAGGGACGAGCGGGGTGAAGCCACCCGCCTCTTGAGAACCGAGCTCGGCGTGTGCAGCTGGCCGGGGAGCAGGCCTGCCGTGCCTCTCGCTGTCAGAGGTCGGGACCTGCCGTGCTGCGGGTCCGAGATGAGCGCTGGGTGCGACGGGGCCGGGCTCAGGCCTGTTGGCCAGCAGACTCGGCGGCGGACCAGGGCCGGGGCCGTACGGAGGGCCGGGCACACTCGCCACTCCAGATCCGCCAGAACCTTGCTGCGCGTTAGGAGCGTACCCTTCGCTGGGCGGCCTGGCCGGCGACCACTCCGCCTCTCTCGGCTCCAGTTTGCCTCCCTTCCTCCCAGACTCCTCGTTCCCTGGCTCGCCTCCCTTCCTCCCCGAATCCTCCCCTCGCGGCTCCGGCTCGCCCCCGTCGCTCTCTCCTCCGTCCACCACCTCCTTCCTTACGCCGATGTACACCTGCTCGCGCGGCGTCGGCAGCGATCGCAGCTTGGCGTCGTGGACGGTGCGCAGCACCTGGTCCGAGAACTTGATTTTGGGCGGCACGAGCACCGTGTCCGCGATGCGCACCTCGCGCAGCTGCGGGTCCAGCCGCCTGTCCGCCTGCTGGTTCAGCTGCGTCGGTAACGGGTTCTGCGGGTAGTAGTAGGGCGCGTACCGCTGCAGCCACGGATTAAGTTCGCCGTGCACCTCGCCCACGAACGTACCGTTGCGGAAGTCGGCAGACTCGAGCGCCACCACGTGCGACCGGTGCACGTCCTGGATGAAGTGTACGCGCCGGCTGCGCTCCGCGCGCGCCAGCTCATCGTCGGTGGTGCCGCGAACGCCGCCGTTGGCGCCGTCCGGCGCGAGACGGCGGCCGCGGCGAGTCTCGCTCCCAGGAGCCAGCGGCTGCCACTCGTCCGGTGTACTCGGCGCGCCGATGGCGCCCTCGGCGCGGGAGGTTTTGTCTGCCGCCACAGCGGCGCTGTTGTCGTCGGCCGGCGGACGCGCCAGCTCGGGAATGGTCCGAGTTCGGGCGGACTCCAGGTCGCCGTCGGACTGGCGCTGGAGAGGCCTCCAGTGGCCGGCTTGCCAGTCATCCGAGTCTAGGGTGGTGTCGGCGACTTCTTCAGATGACGTCACGCGGGATAGGATCGACCGCTCTGAGGAAAAAAGTAATGTTACTGCGCATAAGCAAACAGCATAGCACAGCTGTTCGCAATGAACACGCAGCACGGGAGACATGAATATTGTTTGCGTTGAGCTCTATTTTTGAGACTCACCGTATCGGACGAGAGTTTCATGTCGTGTGGTCCGAGAAACGTAAAAGCTTTCTTTGGCCACACGGCACGTGACAAGCGAAACAAACAGCTGCGAATGTTATGATGAAGGAGAGGCCAAACACTCTTTCGCAAATGCATAAACAGTTGTCTCAGCCGCAGAAAACCATGCTAAGTACGACGGCCGATCTACCGTAAAGTCTTTCATATGGGTCGTTACGTGATTCATCATCAATCTATTTATGGTTACCTTCTGATTGAGTAACACCGATGGACGAACTAAGGAAAACAAGCTTAGTTCTGAAGTCCAGAGCAGGTTGTAGCAAAGGGTTAAGGGTAGGGCGGGAGTCTCAACTTAGTGATAACGAATTACGCTACTTTTTGCCTTTGTCAGGGGCCATCTATGGCGAAATATGGAAACAGCGGGTGATGTGACAACGCCTGTGTTCTGAAGTCATGACTGGGGCAGAGCTGAGTCTTATGTCGTCGGCATATGCTGTACTGTAGTCCTGCGTCTGGCAGCGCTGTGCGTCACTCGTGACACCCTGTGACGTCACCTGTGGCTGTGCGGCGGAGGCGTGTGACGTCACATATGGCTGTGCGGTGGGGTGTGTGTGACGTCACCTGTGGCTGTGCGACGGGTGTGTGTGTGTGTGACGTCACATGTGTTTGTGCGGCGGACGCGTGTGACGTCACCTGTGTTTGTGCGGCGGAGGCGGGTGACGTCATCTCGCTGTCGCGGCGGTCGGCCGAGACTCGGGCCGGGCGCGCCCAGAAGCAGGAGCAGCAGACCCGGAAGCAGCACCTGTAGGCCCCAGACCACCGCCGCTCAGAACCAACCGCGTGTAACGAGACAGTGAGCTGTCGCGATGGCTCAACAGGTAAGCGTCAAGCAATTTAAGAAAATAATCAAAAAAGCATCCGTCAGGCTCTGCGACCGCAAGGCAATCCCGTTCTCTCTGATTGGTTTAGCTTACAACTCCCATCCATCGGGTGAAACACGTTTTTGATTGGTTGGCCATCACGTAATACCCATGATTTCGATGCCACGTGGTCGTGATTGTTTCTGTATTGAGGCGAGTCTTTATAACTCGAGTCTGTCGCCGTAGAGATTCAAAGACGTAATGAAGAGCTAGACTTTTGCTGGTGCTGGTTGACCTTGTGAACACCTGCGTTGAGTGTGTGTTGGTGAAAGCCATTGGGCGGATACCTCTTGCGAATAAATGCCTCGGACTTTGATAATTCGTATTTGCTTGACTCGCCAGACGGACTTGCACGAGAGAGGTCGTCACTGACGTCAGACAGTTTGGAAGCTACTATACTACTACTACTACATTACATGGTTTGACGTTACGAGTCCCCTGCAATTGGCCGCACGCCTGCAGGGTGAACCGACATTGGCCGTACGCCTGCAGGATGAACTGTCATTGGCCGAACACCTGCAGAGTGAGCTGCTATTGGTCGTATGCATGCGGGGTGAGCTGTCATTGGCTGAACACCTACGGGGCGAGCTGATCGACCGGCTTACGGGTCGCACCGGTCCCAGCTGTGGACGGACATGGGGCCCCACACAGCGGCGGCTGGCGTCCTGGTCAAGTCAAAATACGATATCATTGTCGATGGAGAACATTTTTTCCGGTCCGCATTTGACCAAACCTTTTGAAAAACTATATCACGTCCCGTGATATTCCTTTACACTTTTCACACAATGTGATGTGCCCAGAACTACGCAGATTATTTCTAACAACAACGTGACAAATATTTTAACATAGGCAGTAGGTTTAAGGTAAAGTTGCGTAAGGAGCGATAGATATGACAAGAGCTGCATGAAGTATATATCACATCAATACGTTAATAAATCATAGGAAAGACACGCGTTTGAATTAACACCCGCCATACCTGAACCTTTTTAGCTCTCCGCGAAGGCAGTTTTTCCAAGAAAGCTCGCGTTTCCATCGTCATTCGCATGCATGCGATATGGCGTAGCGTACAACAGGGAGATGACGTGGCGCTCCGTGTTACGCCTGAGCGGGGCTATCGTTCCGACGCCGGCATTATGATCCGATAAAACTCATTGCATCAGCTCCGAATTTATGTTTGTTAACAACCAATCAGCGAGCAGTGGTTTTCCGAATGCGCCCCGCACCCCCGGTCGGTTCAATGACGGCTGGTCGGCCCCACGGTCCAGGACGCCTCGCAGGGCTTGAGACGTACTATTATCGCAGCGTCGGAGACGCTTTCACGGAAGGTATCCAGATGTGGAATGCCCGTGCTCACGCAACATACGAGGACGGATGAATTATTATTGACAGCACAAAACGATACAGTTAAGTTTGAATGCATATTGCTTAATTTCCTCACGGAGACGTAAGACACGTCGCTGCCCGACACGGGTGCGACTGCTCTGACAGCCGACCTCTCCGCTCGCCGACGCGACAGGCAACAGCCAGTCCGCTATCAAAAAACAATGCAACTCATTGATTGACTGGAGCGAAATAAAAGTGGACAAATTACATACCTCGACTTGTTCTAAAACCATCTGTTCTATAGCAATTTGTTCTCCCTTCCTCCTGTCTGTGAGCTATCAATTTTGGCGAAAGCTCATTTAGACCATGTCTATCGGGGGCAGGGCACCCTTATCGGGCCGATCTCACCCCTCCGCCACCGCAAACGGTCTCTGGTAAGCATGTGGGCCGGTCAAGGACGTATCGGGCATGGACACTTGGAAGCGAGCCAATTTCTATCGACATGTTCGATTTCAGGCTCATCCAGCTTGAGTAAGACGACGGTGCGTCGATTTCGACGCCTTGAGGGGTACCACAAGAAGTGTAGCTTTTTCCCTGCATGCAGTTTATTAGAGCTAGAACTGATCTGTGTTTGCAATGTGTGTTATTTCCACACACACACACACACACACACACACACACACACACACACACACACACACACACACACATATATATATATATATATATATATATATATATATATATATATATATATATATATATATATATATATATATATATATACATATGCAGATTTGCAGTTCCGAGTGTTTTAGCTATCATACATAGCACAGCTGAGCTGTGATGTCATATGCACTAACTGCCACACCCACTGAGGTCTCGCCCGGCAGCAATCATTCACACTGGTTCGCGTCGCGGTGGATTGTCTAAAAGTTTCCTGCAAATCGTCTGAAATGGATTTGGGGCACAGTGAGAGAAAGGGAGTGAAACACGCAGAGAGAAGACAACAAACAATGCGCAGCGCTATAGCCTCCCACCTATGGCCAAACGCGTGGCCAAACGCGCCTCGCTAGCCGGAACAGCAATGCTTCCAGATGGCCACGATCATGCTTTCCCTATTCGGGGCGTGGATGCGTTGCATCCAGCCGCGCCGCTGGCGGCCTTTGTGCCGTTGCGCGGCGCGATTGCCGGGCTGTCCTGCCGCGTCACGGCGGACGCAGCTGCGGCCAGCGCCGCCGGTGAAAACAGGCCAGCGCCGAACGGGCCGTGCGAAGCTGAACAACGGCAACCGCCGGCAGCCGAGTGTGAACGCGACAGGCATCGCTGTCGACGCTAACATCAATCCAGCCGGCCGTCACCCGGGAGAACTGGACGCTGCAGACCGGAACACGGCCTAGAGACGAGCCGCGGTTTCCCTGATGCCGCCATGCGGAGGGCTGGACTGAAGCTTGAGGGCCTGGGTACAGTTCCATGCTACAATCCGCGTACTTGATGGTGTATAAACATCCATTCGCATCACACCGAGCGGTGTGGGCGGCGTGGAGCGTTATGCGGCTCTCGTGCGATGGGACGGCGCCCTGCCCCCGACCGCGTTCGAGCCTTGCTGTCTCCGAATCCTTCTATTTTCGGTGAAATGGCTTACTAGTGCGCGTGTGCATGCATGCGGGTACTTGAGAAGCCCTCAGTTCAAACCTGATGACAGTATGTAAGCCGACTCGACCGGTGCCTTTCCTGCGGATGGCAGCAGGTAGGAAGTGATCGCCATGTTGTGGGACTGATGCCGTGCTACCAGCGCTGGCGGCGTCGGGTTCGCGGGCATGATCTGTATTGAAACATGCCCTTCAGTCGGCTGACCCATCCCGAGGGTGCGACTTTACCATAAGAGGTCTTCACGGACGATATTCCCTGTACCTTATTCACCTTCTGCCCATGGGGGTTGTGCCATACCCACCTGCTACCCACTCCTCATCCGTTGCGTCCACCCATTGTCCACCTGTTTGCATTTCCAGCACTTCAAGTCTAAATTATGAAGATTTCCATGAAAGTCTACGCCCAAACTTAACTTTCTGCTTTGGTAATTGTAAACATTGTGAATGGAACTAATTTCGGCAACAGAATCGCAAACAAGAACAGTTAACATCCCACCCAGCATTTTGTAAACCCTTTACACGTATCCATATCTACCGTAATTCTCCGAAAGTCTGTACAGTACACAACCAAACCGTTACCAATTTCTTATTGGCACCTATGGGTTTACTCAAGGCGTGAGGCTCTCTATCGGCCCTGAGGCAGCGTTCAGTGCTCTCCAAGCCTGGTAAATGGTTATAGCTCCGTAGTATGCACACGTGCTACCCCGCCCCATTCTGACATTAATCGGGTGCTTAAGGACTTGTGTCGTGAATACCGCAGAGCTTCGCCGTGCATGCGTTTCATGTATGCGTGTGCTACTAACACAATTTAACCAGAAAAGCCCTTGCGGTGGGGCACCAATAATATCGCAAAAATCAGATTGTAACACATTATAATTGAGCCATTAATGGCTGTAGGCAGCCATTCCTCCCAGTACGGCTTTTGGAATTTGCCCCGAGCGTGTCGCTGTGCTGATGAAGGCCGTCTGCGGCGAACCGTGCCGCTGGCTTGTTCAAACCTCAGCGCGCGGGAGGTGAATTCAATGTCATCGTTTCAGTTATGATACGATGGCCAGCAATCACATAGTTTGTTCATGGTGTGATTTATGACATTTAAGGTGTCACAGTGCTGTTTAATGACGGGTTTAATTAACGGATCGGGGAGGTTTATTCCCGTCTCTGAGCTTGTCGCTGTGGAAGCTCACTGGTGATCGCTGCCCGAGACATGATAAATCGTCTCATTGTCCGATAGCGTACTGACAACAGCCGGCGCCGGCGGCGTAACAACTATGTGTTGTGAAATACATGACATAACCGCTAATAAGGTGCCGATAATCCCACAGAGTACAGCGTAAACTTGCTGTGAACTCGGTGTGTACAAGAATGCTAGTCCATTTCACGGCGTGAGGAGCAATGATCTCGTGATGGTCTCGTGGGTAAACTTTGACACATCACCCTGGCGATGTTCACGCCTGTGTTGCAGCAATCAAATAATGGCCGCCTGAACGATCTCAACATGAAAACCAGCGCCGTAATCAGGCAATTTAAGCCAGGAGCGAGACCCAGCCATGGCGCTGTAACAAGCGATCCGGGATAAAACACACGCCGTTTCCCAATCTGCGCATCATGAAGCCTCACGGTGGCCGGTTTTCAGTGTCAAAACCGCCGCCTGCAATCTCCGGGAGCTCACACGCGGCGATCGTGGCGAGAAAATGGTTCCCACGGCTGCCGGCAACGCCGTCCAATTACCGCCGTTTTCGACCGCGTGTACTCGGAAGAGCCCTCGCGTTGCCCACCGCCCCGCGCCCGAGGGGTGACGAAACCGCGGCTGGATCGCGGGCGCACGCGCCGCCGCGCCGTTTTCGGCGCGCGCGCGCTGTCCACGCGGCGACTCTCGCGTCAGCTGGCGCCGCACCGGGCGCCAAAGGGCGGCCGAGTTTCTCGGCACCTGTTCTGGGGAAAATGAATCACCGTCTGACGTCTAATTTGTATCCGTCGAGAGCGAAAGTGGTGCAATTATAGAGCGCACTGGACGCCGTGTTGTCGCATAGACGGCAGAATTTGTCACCCAGGCGATAAATCCCACTAGGAAAAGGAATACTCAGTCGCTTAAGAGCTTACCAAGCTGTATATCAGTTGGCATTCACCACCACTGAATCATTTAACATGTTGTTTGGCATCTTTACCGTCCATGCACCGACCACAAAGACTAATGGTCATGCACGCCGCCATAGGGGATCGTACGTATACATGTTTTCCAGCCCTTCTCTCCCACCAAGTATCTTCTAATCTTCAGATCGTCATAGATCCCTCCACTGTAAAGCTCTAGAGCCGTATAATGCACCTACACCGGTTATTAAATGGTCAAATGGATGGGCGCACATGAAATCCGCCTCTGTGGTTATAATAGTGACACGCCTTTCTGGCTCCGCTGTTGTCTCCCGACCTGGATTTCTCCCCGATGTGCGCAGGAAGTGCCGTTGGGCTAATGATTCCATAACTGTCAGATATCCTTTATCATCGTCCGCTCATAAATCCGGGGACGATGGGAAAATGCGTGCGGTTCTCGGCCAGGCGGCATGTGCGTATAGCCGCAGCAGCAGCTTTGCCCCGGCCGAGGCGACAAAGCGCTGCCTGAGAACGCAGAGAATTCGCCGCTGCCGCTGATCATTGCCGAATAGGGGTAATTATAATTGTTCTCACTGCATTAGCCTGAGGCGAAGGAAAGTTGCAAGCGTGTGTAACCGTTTACGGGGTAAATGCTTGGTTTCCGCATTGCTTCTAAAATTTGGGAACGTATCGTACGCACCTGCAGTGGATCTGCAGTAGTGTGGATGATGGTGACAACGGCTTTCAACTTTGAAATCTGTGTTTGCACCCACATAAGATGTTTGTAATTTCTCAGCAACCGGCAGTCTGGTTCTGAACTTGGAGGAGGCTGGTTTAGGGAATAAATTATGTTGAACAAACCAAAAGAAATGGAGCCCAAGAGTCATTTGCAACAAGGCTTGCAGCATAGATGTTTCCATGAAAATGTTATCATTAACAAGCCGGATGTTCTACAATGGTCGGAAGACCTCTTGTACACAGCTAGAGATGAACATCACTGACCTGGTTAGGACGAGGGATATGTTGTGCCATGTTGGTGGCACTAAGGCATAATCCTCAGTATTTCATACACCTGTTTGGAGCGTGACACAACTGCCCATTCAAACCGCAACATCAACCTGAAAGCCTCCCGTACGCCACTGACCAATGTAACGCACACCTAAACCGCCAGACTGTCGCACCCGATGAACAGGCGGTTAATATGTCTATCGGCGCTGGGGCGCAGACCGCGGCGGCGGCCACAAGCCGCTCCCAGCGCCCCCGTAACGGCGACGGGAGCAGCGGAGGGTGCGAGGAGCGAGCGCGGTTTCTCCGCGGCCGGCCGTCGAGGGACCGCTTACCCGGCTAATGGACATCGCGGCGGTGATTAGCCCCTGCGCGTGCGGCGCCGGTGGCGGGAGACGGCTCGAGGTCCGCTGCGGGCGGCGGCGGCGGGGCGATGCCGGACGGCGGCGGCCCGGCAGCTGCGCTGAGGGCCCGGCGACAGCCGCGACCGCGACTCTCGTCGAGAGGAGTAGGGAGACGGCGAGAGAGGCGAGCTCAGCTCGGAATGTCGGCTGTTGTTGGACGGAAACACAATACAGGTGGGTATGTTTTGGACCGTTGTGTGTTGCGCTGGCTGGGAACTCCTGAAAGGAAGAAAACAAGGCATGAGACGTTACCGAAAGCGTCACGAATAACAAAAGCATTCATGCGAGCACAGAAAGCACATGCCGACGTCTCTTGAGGGGCAGATAATTCCACCGTCCGATACTACGTAGGCATCAATGAAATTATGTCGTGCTACCGCTCCTAATACACAAAAGGAAGAGTCATTCCATCCCGTCTTACGAGGTCAAGCGTTGCAGAAGCTGCCGGTGGGGGCATTCCAGTGAATAATTGACTGTGAATGCATGAGTCACTGAAAACATAGCAATTTTGTGGTGGCAATTTCGAAGTCTTACTAAATGATTCCCAAAGTACACGACAGCTAATGAGCCATATCGAGATGCTACGTTTGTCCATGGACATGGACGTGACGTGGACGTGACATGGACGTGGACAATGGAGAATGGGCGCAGGAGTCGAGCTTTATGATACAAGCGGGCATATTTTCATCATGAGCGTATAGTTTTATCTTGAAATAGTTATAACTGTTTGCGTGACAAGGGAGGTATTGCTGTGTCATTGTCACCACAGAAAACACCACCACCACTGGATGCATAGATTGTTTTTATTCTATAATAGTCTGTGATACAATATGCGGGAAGGGGGGGGGGGGCGGGGGGCTTACAATGGTAGACAATGCTATCGGCCGAGGTTAACCGGACGCCAACTGACCAGCAACCGCATATTCACCGGCCCGGCCTGGCATGGGCGGCCTCGATTGCTGACGTGATGACCCTTTGACGTGGGTCATCACGTCAGCAATCGAGGCCGTCACATGCCAGGCCGGGCCGGTGAATATGCGGTTGCTGGTCAGTTGGCGTCCGGTTAAACTCGGCCGATGGCATTGTCTACCATTGTAAGCCCCCCGCCCTCCCCCCCCCCCCTTCCCGCATATTGTATCACAGACTATTATAGAATAAAAACAATCTATACGTGAAGGCCAAGTGACGACCTTTGACGGCCTCGATTGTTTTGTAACGACTTATCGTAGCACCATTAAGCTTTTATTAGCACGTAGCCGCCACTATTTCAAAAATGTTACTCATATACGTAATTATATAATGGTACTTAAATATATATATATATATATATATATATATATATATATATAAACATCCCTTTAACAGACACTATTTCCTTGCAACACTGCCATATCACCAAAGGAAGTGTCAATGCTCCATCTAAATGCCAGACTTAAGGTTTGAAAAAATGCGAAAGGTTGTTAAGAACGGGCAGAAACCAGGGCCGGACGTTACCATCCGGAGGGGCAGCGACGCAGCATGAGCACTATTTGACTGAGACAAAACGGGCAGTCATATTGACACAAACGTGCGCCACTGCGTGCAGTAACGGCCGTCCTTGCGTAAAGCATAGATCCACCAGCTCAAGTCATTATTCAAAATAAATTCCAGCCGGAACTAGTGACTTAAGTCCAACCGAATAAACGGAAAGGTAACGAACGTGATGTCCACAAAGCACCGAATTTTGCGCCGACCGGTCCATAAAGATGTAAGTAGCCGTCAAGACGAGGAGACCAATGTCAAGGTTCAGATCCGGTTCCTTATGTACGTCGCCGCAGCCTCCACCGAGATGAATACAAAAAAAAACGAGATAGACGTATAGCTTGTCCTCTGAAATTAACATCAACTGACATATTCCTCTCATTGCAATGTTCTAAAGAGTTATTATAGATATAACTTCATCCAAATCAGTTGTTTTCTTTTCCTAGAAGGCCTTCGCCCGGCGGAACTGGCAGGGCCGTTTGACATTATCATATTTTCTTGCAATGCAATAAACCTACGATTTAACGCTTGCCTCTTGTTGATTGAATTTTGATTAACGACGGATATGAGCATTCATAAATGATAAGATCCCTTTGTATGAGTACTAAAAGAGCCTGGCTCCATTTGCTCAGAATTAAGCACCCTGCGATCATGCCTATTTATGTTATCGCCCCGCTCATCCTACACCCAACAGGTGGTCAGTTTCTAGCCAATGTCCCGGTGAGCATGTGGTGCCATATCGGAGAGCTATCTCTTATATCTTATGTCGGAGAGCTGTATCCTGTTGATCAATGCCAGCAGACATACACAAACGAACACAATACTCGTAATTTGCCTCCAGGGAACCTACTCTGATCGTTGGTGCCTCGTCTTCGCACGGTGTTGGTTGTAAAGTAGTGCGGCCAGTGAAAACACCGGTACATTTCACTCATGTTGCAACCTTGGGACCGCTGCAGCGAGCACAATTACGAATGAGGCCGTGGGCCGCGTAGATCTTAATCAGCCTGCGAGATAAAGTTCGATGTGGAAGGTGAGCTGCCAACTATCGTCGAAATTCGCAGCCAACCGCCAATCCACCGCTGGCAGACGCTTGCCCCGGCCGCCTTGACCCACCATCTGCTCTCAGCAGTCTGCACCGGGGCTGCCGCTTCCCATCTCTAACGCCGCGGCACGGTCCGCCGAGACCGGAGCCGATCCGCGGTTATCTGCCCAGTTCCGGGGTATGCGGTGGCGAGCGTCCCAGTTCGAGAACCGGGTGGCTCTCCAGTCGGACCTCTGGAACGGCGTCACCACAGCAGTGGAACTGTCACGAGCGAGGCCCGCCAGCGTCCCTACAGCAGTCAAACTATCACGAGCTGGGCCCGCCAGCGTCACCACAGAAGTTGGACCGTCACGAGTGAGGCCCGCCCGCGTCACTACAGCTGTCGGACTGTCACGAACGAGGCCCGCCAGCGTCACCACAGCAGTCGGACTGTCACGAGCGAGGCCCGCCAGCGTCACCACAGCAGTCGGACTGTCACGAGCGAGGCCCGCCAGCGTCACCACAGCAGTCGGCTTGCGGCCCTCCACTCCAAAACGCGCCACGTACCAAGCTGACACCCCGGCCTCCGGATCGCAAGCTGGTCCCCGCTTCCATGAGCCGACTCAACTCTGTCATCGGGATATGTAATCGGATGCGATGAAGTACGCCTCGGGACTTCCAAAGAAATTAATCGAACAACTCGGCAGTGACCCCGCGCTGTGCCGGCAGAAGGGACGGCACTCAGATTGTGCTCTTGATTTGTAATGAACTGGAGGGCCAATCGCCACCACGCGATGAACGCTGCCACCGTCTTTGCAGCATGCCACAGCCTGGTGATTTATCCCTGCTGTTTGTTATGCGGGTATCAGACTGCTGGTCCTGAGCCGAGTCGGAGTCGGCTCTGGAATCGATCGTATTGCAATCCATTAAACGTGGAATACATTTCTTTTGAATTTTCCTGTTGGTTAGAGTCAGAATTCAATCAGTCATAATGTCAGTGAGTCTCAACTGAACTATAAATGTACGCGACAGGACCAGATGGCCCGCGGAAGGACGGCATTCCTAATAGTCTCACAGTTTGTGCACCAAATGGGAAAAGGCTGGATCCAGAATGCCACCTAGGGCGGGCAAGATACAAAAAGGTTTTGCCTTGGTTGAAAACATCCCATGTCGCATCCCTACGCACCAGGGAGTGTTCTAAAACAAATTTTCCTTCATGAATGCTGCTTTATTTTTTCAGAGTCAAGGAATGTGACATTTTGCACGACATTGGCCATAGCTTTACAAGAGGGTTGAGACAAGGTACTAGTATTCCTGATGAAATCATTGTTCGCACTACGGTCCTTGTCTGGTGTGTTAGTATGCACACAGAGTTGCGGCCAGTGAACTGTCCAGCTGTCGTCGGGTGTTTTGGTGTTCTGAGAACTGGACTACGTTTGGTTTTAGTCACGTACGCGTCACATCCCGAATTTTCTCCTTGGAATAGCGGGGATGCGAACCAGGGTATTCTGAGTGCAAGTCCAGTGCTTTGCTAGCTGAACTTTCCGGTTAGCTCAGTCGCTGCACTGTGAATAATTCATTGAAAAGCCTGAGATACCACGAGCGTATAATGTGAAATCTTTGTCACGAGGGTTCTTGTGCAATTGCCCAAGATGCCTTTTAAATGAATGTAAACGACAAGGCATGTGAATTCGGCGGTACACCGCGTTTCCGATGTCCACGGTGGCTTGCTTAATTTCGTAGACTTGATGGCATGGCCAGTTGTCACAGTCACCCTCGTCTTATGACACAACATCTGGGTATGTAACGGGCCTGGGAGCACGATCACGGGGAATGGAGAGGTATCCCAAGCTGCAGTAAACACAAGAGGTCGCTACACGGGAGTATCTATACGCTGACGAGTATTAGGAGTCGGCATCGCTTCTGAATACTATACTTATGTACATTACACAGCTGTGCGCAGCTGCGTAACGATGTGCGATTGTTACGCTTTTCGAACTGATGAGACGAGTTTCACTCGTCACTTGTCGAGCAAGTCACCGTTCGCTGTTCGCTGCGATTCTGCCAGTGGCAGTGGCGAAACTGGGTTTCTCACGTCCACCGGGGGTAGCCGCGTGTGCTAACGAGCCCGAAAGCGGCGTAATTGAACCACGAACAACACATCCGACCACCTGTCGTACATGGGCCGAGCAGCCGATTGCGGGTTTCAGAATACAGCCGTCAAATCAAGGAAGCCAATACGCCACCGCACGCGTGACGCCCAATCACAGCGTGCGCGGCAGTTTGAGATGCAGACTGTCTTCACTACGGCGTCCCTCCAAACAAAAGCACGTGGCATGTACGTGGCAAGGCGACACAAAACCGTCGTACGATTACCGTGTCTTTGACGCACCGCCAGTCGTCATCTCGAAGGTTCTGTGTGCAAGCATGAGGAAATGTTGGCTGT